CAAATTCCAAAATCCAAAATTCCCAAATTCCCAAATCCCCAAATTCCCAAAATCCAAAATTTCCAAAATTCCTAATCCCCCAAATCCCCCAAATCCCAAATTCCCAAATTTCAACATTCCGAATTTCTCAAATTCTCAAATTCCTCCATTCCAAAATTTTAAAATTCTGCCCTCCCAAATTCCCTAGATATATCCCTAAAGTCCAAGATCCTTACCTCCCCTCCCTTAACTTCAAAATCCTAGCAAAGAGAAATCACATTTTATACATTTTCGGAAATCTATTCTCGTTTTTCCTGATCAAAACAATCTAAAATAAACAAAGACAACCAATTTTCTACCAAGTCCCAAAAATCATACTCGAAGTATTCGATTCCCAAACTCGACTCTTAAGTTCGTTTCACCGAACCTTTTCGATTACGTTTTCATTGCTTTGATTTTATTTCGTCACTTCTCATCGTTCGAGCCTCTTTGTTTAGTATATTGACACATTGATCATTGCGTTGCTTCCATTGCTAGCTAGGGGACCGAGGTAAGCGGATTCTAACAGTAAATTCTGTCATAATCTATGATTAACGTTCTGCTGGTGTGTTCCCTTATCACGCTTCTCCTTCTCTCGTAATTTTATCTTTCCTCGCTCACCTACTTTCTTTTTTTTATATATGTTCCTCTCAATTATACTTGTTGCTGTTTTCTCGTTACCTCCGTGAACAGAGATTCTGAATTAATGTATGTGCAGAGTGGATGCAATTGTCAGTATTTAAATATTGTTGCAACACAATTTTAAAGAAAAAAAGTGATTTAAAGAAAAGTGATTCAGAGGATGTATATTTTTATATCGAAGAGATGTGTTTTCAGATGCATATTTTTTTACAAGATTTTTAACTTTTTTTTGTTATTTTTCAAAATGAAAATGAATATTTTATAAATAGTGTATGTTTATGAATCATAGTCTTTATTTTATTTTTTATTTTTTCTTTGAAAGTAAATCTAACAATTAAGATAGATCAAATCAATACAATCAATGTAATTCAAATTTCTAATTAATTATATAATTTCATGTTAACGATGTGATCATTCAATGCTTTATATAATAAAATATTTTAATATTAATTGTATGATTATTTTAGAACATTTTTGTATAATTATATCATCAACATTATATTAACATTAGCAATTGTTTATTAATAACGAAATATTTTAATAACATGAAGGTAATGATATTGAATATACAAATATACAAATAAATATTGAATATGCAAATAATACAGCTGTAATAGTGATGCACAACTAACATTAAGCTCACATTAAAAGATTTGAATATAATTAATAAAAAATTGAATATATTCATGCATTAGCTTAAAATTTTAATCTCGAATATTATCACTCATAAATCAATTTTTAAAACTAAAGTAGATGAGCTAAAATTTGTTTCAATTGTATGAATCACTCTGTTAAAAAGAAAAGCAAAAATCTTTCTTTGTTTAATCGCATATCTTGTTTATAATTTAAGCAAATCATTAAACGCTGAAGAATCTGATTTTCACGGTCCTTTTTTTACTATAATATAATTAGATTATTCTATTATTACTGTCATTTCCCGTCACGTTTTGTATACGATCTTGATCAATTTACATAGCAGTATTTAGACAATGGTAATGTCCAACAGTTGGTACCCTATCGTCGTTGCTTACAAATAGTTCTACTTTTTCTGAAACGTAGTTGCTTCGACTCTTCTCAGCTTTTTCTTTCTCGCCTGACTATTACGGCTATTTCCACGATCGGAAATCGATTCTTTTCATACAGGCCAACATCGTAATTTTTCATTATCATCTGGTATGCGTGTGCGTGTACGTGTGCTTCCTAAATACTCTATACAATTTTCATGTTACTATTTTTCTCGATGTTTTTCATTTAGTTTCTTCGCAAAACTTCCATAATCGAAGCAACCCCGTATATTCTGAACAAACGTAGCTGTTATTGAATCGTGAACTTACTTCGATTATTACAATAATTTTTGTTCCAAATTTGTAGTTCAAAATTTTCGAAATTTTCACAAGAAAGAAATTCTTCAACTTACCTCAAATTTGTATTTGGTAATTATTTGCATACTTCATGGCTTCAGTGCGACATCAGACATTTTGTACACCAAAATAATCTGTGCAGTGAAAACAAAATTACATACTTAATATAATACAAATTCTTAAATAAATTAGAACTGTTCTAACTTTGAATAGATGCTTCAAAATGAGAAAAGGACACTAACAATAAGGTCATCTGGATTCTTTCATTTCTTTCGTCTTTCCGTTCATTCTAGACGTTGAATGTGGCATGTTTCAGATAGATCTCAACCATCTTCTACTAACGATGAACGTAACCATGTAAAGCCTCATCCTATATTAACTCATCAAAAGGCGCCAAAACTGCGCTTTCTCTCTTCTGTAGAGTTTAGGCACTCATCAGGTAAATTTCGAGCCACTGTTCTAAATAAATACGTATATAGTTGCAATCACGGTATTACGATCCGTGAAAGTAGTATTAATGCAACAGAAAATTGTACATACTGTATAAAATGTATGATACACGGGAGACGAAATTTATCAATGAATAGTGAAACTAATTTTGTTTAGAATTATAGAACATTTACCTAGAATTATAAAAGCAATTTTACTCGCTTATAAAATATTAGCACTTAACATTTTCACATACAATGTGAAAATTTCAATTCTAGTTGTTTTACTACAAATATTAAAAATTACGAATATAATTTTTTGATAATAATAATGTTAAAATAATTGTAGTATTATTGATGTTTAATAATATTAAAATAATTGTATTATTAATGTCTAATAATATTAAAATAATTGTATTATTAATGTTTAATAATATTAAAATAATTGTATTATTAATGTATAAGTGTGGTTATAAAAATTACATGTCAGTGATGTCATGGGAAAGTTTTTAGGAATTAGTTTTGAAATTCGTTGATAAATTTGTTTGGAAAAGTGTTTCATTGGAAAAGTGTTTTTTCGAATTCCAAGTCACTGATTAAAAATTTATTTATGTACTAAATTGTTTATGTACCTGAAACTATTTTTACTAAAGTTGTAATAGAAGAAATACTGTTGAAAGGTTTTGAGTTTCAAGAGTACTCGAATGAAAGGTACATTTATATTTGAAATAAAGTAGATTGATAGTTAAAATTTCAGATACTAAAATTAGTGAAAGGAATGATAAATAAATTGCTTCTTAATTCTTAAATGCTGATAGGAAATTAATTAGCGATGAATGATATTATTACATACATAATTCAATTTCGATACTTGTTTTAGATATAGAATTTAACTTGCACTAATCGAATTTTGTATTGTAATTTATAATATTACATCAAATTTGTATTATGGAAAAGTTCTTTAGACTATTCTTGTAGTGCACTCGATAATTTAACAAAGAACTTTATGTGTATGTATCATTATGCTATTATACAGCGATGGGCAGTTATGCTTGCAAAGAGATGCATGGGCAGTTAATTCTTATATTGGAGAGTTTGCGAATTTGAAAATTTAAGATGTTAATATATTTTTATATTTTTAAATTTCTACATTCGTAAGTTTCTACATTTCTAAATATTACAGTTCTCAATTTTTCAAATTTTTAAATTTCACAATTTTCAATTTTGCAGATTTCCAAACTTCACAATTCTCAATTTTTCAAATTTCTAAATTTCACAATTCTCCATTTTTCAAATTCCTAAATTCCAAATTTCCAAATTTTTAAATTTCTAAATTCTTAAATTCCTAAATCTCTAAATACCCAAATTTCCAACTTTCCAAATTCCCATCTTTCGCAAATCCCAAATCCCAAATCCCCCAAATCCCAAATTCCCATATTTCGCAAATCCCAAATCCCCCAAATCCCCCAAATCCCAAATCCCCCAAATTCCCAAATTCGCCAAATTCCTAAATCCTTAAATTCCCAAATTTCTTTATTCCCAAATTCCCAAATCCTTGAATTCCCAAATCCCTAAATTCCCAAATCCCCGAATTTCAACATTTCTAATTCCTGAAATTCCCAAATTCTTGCACTCCAAAATTCGAAAATTCCGTCCTCCCAAATTCCCTAGATATATCCCTAAAAACCTAGATCCCTACCTCCCTAAACTCTTAACTTCCACAATTTAAAATGCGAAAATTAAAATATTTCTGAATTTCACGCTTGAAAAATTTAACACACCAAATTCTTCCACTGTTCAGCACGTCACTACTCGTACCAAAGCCCGTGAACTCTTCGGCTCTCTATTTGCCCATCGTTGCTTTAGAATTACAATTAACACCAAGCTTCAAATTAAAATGTACATACACCTTCTAACAAATATTACATATTACTTCACATAATTTCATAGCACATTTATCAAAACTTTTAAAATTAAATAATTATTAGTGAAAGGAGTTACAACTGCACTCGATTTTTAATCAATCAATTCATTCATTATTCATCCTAGCACACAATACAGTGTAAAAGTAATTGAATAATAGTATAACGTTAGATTTGTATGTCTCATTTCATGTTTTTCATTGTAGACAAACGTTAATACCAATCAATAGCATGTGTAATTTATAATAACTTTTTATTATCATTACCATTTATCATATACCACGTTTCATTTTCACTTGTATTTCGAATATATCAATTGCGTAACTTTTTAATCTGCTGATAATATATGACCCATACCTTTTATAGCGATTACTCGAATTGCATTCGTTTACGATGACTTAATTTTTATGCAAAATTAATATAATTACAAATTATAAGTTAATAAAATTACAATTATATAAATACAATTGCAAAATTAATATACAGGGTGGCTCACCACATTTTGCCATCTAGATTTGCGTCATTGTTATTGCTCATAGCAAACAATGTTCTAGATGAAGTTGAACGGTTTTGAGGGGGGGATATGTCGGTGGTATATTTTTTTTGTAGGTGGACGCGTAAAGTACATACGAAGGTCATTAATGTTTTTTTAAATGGAATCATATATTTTTTATTACATCAGCTGATACTCTTTCATATTCTTTACAAAAAAGTATTAATCTATTTATGTGAAAAAATCATTAGTTTAGGAGATATTTTCACTGTAATGTCTATTTACAGAAAAGGTTCAATGTGGCAACCATTTGCATCAGAACACTTTCTGAATCGAGAAATTAATGACTTACTAACATCCCGTAGTGTATAATCTTTCTTCATGTGTAGCACTCTTCCCAGCTTCAAAATAAACTGATAACATGACTATCTTTTCTTCTTTAAAATACTTCATTATGAAGTGATAATTCACCGTATCGTCGTATTCACCGTCTTAAAGACGTAACAGAGACAAAATTTCACTGTTATTGCATAACAAAGAAATAACAAAAACTCACAATTCGTTTAGTGACACATGACCTCTCAATGTATGTAGAAAAACATTTGCTGTTCAATTACGGCAATTCATAATATTGACCAGAAAGTCACGATTTCCTAACAAGTTAGAACTAAAATATCTCCTAAACTAATGACTGTTTCACATAAATAGATTAATACTTTTTTTATAAAGAATATGAAGTAGTATCAGCTGATGCGATAAAAAATATATGATTCCATTTAAAGAGACATTAATGACCTTCATATGTCCTTTACATGTCCACAAAAAAATATACCACCAACATATGTCCCTCTCAAAACCATTCAACTTCATCTGAAACATTGTTTGCTATGAGTAATAAAAATACGCAAATCTAGATGGCAAAATGTGGTGAGCCACACTGTATACATATACATTTATAAATACACTGATGCAAATATTTTCAAGTTGATATTTTATAAATAAAAATCTAGGAAGATTTATGCAAAATTTTGTGAAAGAAGAAAAGACAGTTTATTTATTTCTCGTGTTATTATTGAAAATTTAAATCGCTATGAAAGGAATACTTTTGAAAATATTTTTTAAATTCCTTTTCTTCCTAATATTGTATTTATTCTATTGAACGCTCGCTCTTCTACAGTCCTTCCAAGCTTATCTCTTCACCCTTTAATAATCCATACTTAAAAATGAACAATTTATAACATAGCTATACGAATGCAACTATAACAGTTAATTATAAAATACTGCAACAATTTCTTATCGAGCACAATTAAAAGCATGATTATAGCATTATTCTTACTTAATTTTCTTTAATTCATTTTGAATAACAAGATATTCTACCATGGTAATATTGTTACAATTTTACTTCTCATAATTCAAATATAAGTTGTAAATATAGTTGCAATTATACTTATAAATGTATGAATAAAACGTATCAAGCTCTGATTTTATTAAGGACTTATAGCAGATAGTGCGATGTGATAATAATAGTTCAAAATTATGAATCGGGAAATATATTTACAAATTAGTTTCGGAAGAGTAGCATGGATAGATTGCAGAATAGGGAGTAGCTTAACGTTGAAATGTAAGTAAGTTAGGTTATGTTTTATTAGGGGAGACCATGACGAGTCAACTGAGCCCAACCAGTCCAAACGAGGACAGCTCAGGCGAATGTCGTCCAGACAAACCTAGATTGCAACGATCTATGGGTCAGAGCAAGAAGACTTTTAGGTTGAGAAAAAGTCGAAGAACACATTTGGAGGTATACGAAATTTTACTATCAATTTTTATTTGAAAAACTTAGAACTTTAAATTAACTTCCATCTTTGAGAGTTGAATTAACTCGTGTCTTTAAAAATAAAAAATTTAAATTAACTTCCATCTTTGAGAGTTAAAAATTTAATTTGACTTGTGTCTCCAAAAATTAGAACTTCAAATTAATTTCTGTTTTTGAAAGTTAAAAGTTTAAATTGTGAGAAGGGAATATTTTGAGTCACTCTACGTATTTTTTTTAATTATCAATAAAATATTTAGCTGATTTTTTAACATTGTGTACTAATACCAAATATTTGTCACTTTGAACATTTTTTATAACAAAGAGTAATTTGACAAGTAGTAGATTAACTAGTAAGTAAGAGTAAGTCCAAGAAATGAAAACCCAACACATAACTCCAAGTTAAATCGGTAAAATTATTGCACTGAATTTTCCAGATGTCCCAAAAGACAGACTCGATAGACAACGGCTCGCAAGTGCAAGCTCAGCCATCAGTCCTAACGCCCCCAACGCCCATAATGGATCCATCGAGCTTCAGCATCCCTTCCGATTCTTCGTCGATTCGTTCTCGACGTAGTTCGTCGATCCGCCAATCAGACGGCGAGAAGGGTAATAACCTAACAGGCGAACTACACGGTGGTCTGCACCACCATCACCATCACCACCACCACCACCACCATCTCCACCTGCAAACGTCGGACGTATCCTGGGACGAGGACACATCCAGCACTTCCGGATATCGTGAATCGTACAGCATGCAATTGGTGTCTTTGGAAAGCAACAACAACAACGCACGCTCGGTTCAAGCGCCGCCTCTGGCATCGCCAGATTTGAACGACATGCCTTCTACGAGCAGCACCACGACTCACGTGTTCGAAGGAAGTTCGCCGGATTGTTCCATAAACGGAAGCGGAGGGGAAAAGACGGCGTTGTTGACCTCCAGTCAGAGGACGACCTCTCAGCATTCTTTACTGATGGTCTTCCCGAATCAGGATGAGGACACGCTGATTTAGAGGCGGTTAACGGGGGTTTGCAATTTAGTTTTTCAGGAGGAGACTGATTAAGAACCTTTAGTTGCTAACGGGCTCTGGTACATATCTATTTCACTTTGTTACTATTTTTAAGTGGTCCTGGTTGATTTGTGTTGGGGATTTTGTAAAAAATTGGTGAAATACCGATCATTTGTTTGTGGAGATGGCGATGTAAGGGAAAAGAACTTTGTCGCCTATGATAGTCGAGAATTAGGACGGATTATGATTGGTTTGGTGTAAGTGAGGTTGTTTTTGTTGAGGTTTTGGAGATTTGATGATTTGAGAGTTTTGGAATTTAGGTAATTTGGGTAATTTAGGTGATTGGGTGATTTGGATGATTTGGATGATTTGGACTATTTGAGTGCTTTTGGTGAGTTTGATGATTTAGGTGATTTGGGTGATTTTGATAATTTAAACAATTTAAATATTTTAGAAAATTTAGGAGAATTAGATAACTTAGAAATTTAGATAATTTCAATCATTTGGATAATTTGGATAATTTATAAAATTTGGAAATTTAAAAATTTAGGTAATTTGAATAATTTGTGTAATTTACAGAATTTCAAAGTTTAGGATTTTGAGACTTTCCTAATTTCAAAATTTGGGAGCGTGAGACTTTCCTAATTTCAGACATCTGGGATTTAGGAATTTAAGAACTTTCAAAATTTTTGATTTTATAAATTTTATAAATGAATGAAATTAATAAATTTTTCAATTTTGAGAATTATATAATTTCACAATTTGGTAATTTGATTATTTCATAATTTGATGACTGATAATTTAATAACTTGATAATTTAATATCTTGATTATTTAATAATTTGATAATTTGATAATTTAATAATTTGATATTTTGATAATTTGAAAACGTGAAATTTTAAATTCTGGGTATTTGGACATCTGTAAGCTTAAAAATGTTCAATTTTGAAAAATGTAATACTTAACAATTTGAGTATTTGTAAATTGTAAATATAGAAATTTAGAACTTCACTAATTTTTATAGGATTTATAGGTTATCTCTCCTTATATCGCCGTTTCTTCAGAAGAACCAACTCGTTTCTCTACCAAGTACTACAAACGTACAAAAAACCTCTTTAATCCAACTCTTACATTCATTTTCCTTCGTTCCCATCGTACTTCATTCATAGAACAAAAATGAAAACAGATAATGTGAAATAATTACAAACAAATATTGTTAGCAATTAAAGGTTTGATTAAAACATAACGTAGAGTAATTTCCCAAAATTACAATTGGGTAATAGATCGTTCCGTGTGAACCCGAAAAGAATGTATCGAACGTCGAATACCTTTAAAAAACAAATTAAAACTTCAAAAGGTATTATTTGAAGAAATGTAAATTTTAAATTTGTAAAGTACACTAGTTGTTTTAAGAAAACTAGATATGAATAGATATGCAAGATTGTCAAATTTTGCATTAATTAAACGATGACTATGATATCATACTTATTTGTTTCTATTCCATACAAAACAAATCTGGAATGCATTTTAACGAAGTGAAACATTTCCTTGTTTAAGATGGTTCATTTTAAAACATTTTGATTGTCGATTCTTTATTTCACCGTGAAACACTTCTCGCAACGACGATTGGGAATAATTAAAAGGCCCGATACGGTGTTCAAAGTTTCCATTAATGTTATCCGTTGACCGGAAAGACCAATTAAAGATACATATGTTAAGAGCCTAGCCTCGTGGTCACCGGATATGTACTTTGTAATACTTTGACGAGCGTAGCAACCATGACCACACGAACGATTAGGCCTAAGTATTTATATGTGACGACCGTCTGTAAAAACGAGTTTGAAATAAAAATACTTTGTGATCAATGGACTTTTCTTTGCTTTTATTGAATGACATTTCGAGACATTCCTTTCACTTCATGACCACCACGTTATTGCTGACATTTTCTTTTCATTTAAGGTGAAGTGGGGTAAGTTCATAAACGGGACAAGTGCGTATACAGCCTATTTTTATTACAATAAAAATTTCTCCATTTAGTATGTTTGTTTCCTTGTTTTGTTTCACTATATCTCCTTTTATATTTCAGCTAAGAGTACTTGTTTGCAGTATAGAGTACTTGCATAATGCAGTAAAAAGCATTTTATAGCAGATTTGTTAATAATTCTGCTCTTGCTCCATTGCACATGAAATAAAGTTTCAAAGTATTTAACTTCAAGTTACGCTCTTACCCCATTTTCGGGAAAGTGCAGAGTAATTGACATTTTAAACAATTTCCTATCAAAATCAAAATCAAAATGTACAAGGAAAATTAAGGTCCTAGTTAATATTAATTAAATAGTAGTAATTGTGCAAAGCGTTCGATAACAGCGTTAAGTATTTACATAGCAGACTGAAAATACTTACGTTTAAATACCAACTTTGTGTAAAAAAAGAGTCTGCACTTATCCCACTTCACCTTATGAAAGTTTGTGAAAACCTTCAATAAATCTTCCTAAGTTACATGAAATGCAAAAAATTGAATTACCTGACAAGTAGTTAGCAGTGTCTTCAAATTCTGGAAGTGTGCAATATAAGAACATCTGGCCAACGTTTCGTAAACTCCTTTCAAAAGGTCATTTGCAGCGGTCCAATCGGTGTTTCTTCTGATCGAAGCTTTCTTATGAATCTTGCTAAACGTTTTATCGAGCCTCCTTAAAATATTTGTCAAAGCCGGCCTCATATCGTCGCTGGACCAATCGGTCGATGGTAAAATATCGTTCATGTATCGTCTCAAACCGCGGCAATCCATCGTGCTTGCATCGTACGGTGATATTTTTAAGAGACTGTGCGCTATATCTGCTAATCATCTGCATTTATCCCACTTCACCTTACAACTTTCTATGAACATCAGCTGTCAAAATTAATAGGTCCCTTATGGTTTGCAAGATATTCCTATTTCAATACTTGAATTGCTTATATCATTGTTCATTGAAATACTAATGCAAATGTGAAATACGCCTGACCTAACCTAACGCCATTTGCATTCTGAGCGCGACGGCCATTTTATTATGCCGCCGTTTGACCGAGAGTAAATACTTGGTGAGCGCGATGTTTGAGATGAGAACAGTTAAAATAACATTTTGTAACTAATTAAGCTTTCAGTCACACTTTATTCAGGTAAAAAATTACAACACATACTGATTTCGTGAAATTCCTATTAAATAAGATTTACGAGAATTTTACAACCTTTCAGCAATGCAGTCTAATTATAATATATCAAATTCGTATAAAATTTAACGAAACTTTTGAAAGTCATTTAGAATGCATTGTAACTTAAATTGGACAACTGTCTCTTTGTCCTCATTTTAAATTGAAAAATTCTCATCAGAATTTGTCACAGATAACACTAGAACTACCGGAATTAAATGTTTATTTTCAAACTTGAAACAAAGTAGAAAAATAAATAGATAAATGCAGTATCAAGGAACATTCAATCAATTTGGACAAAAATACTTTGCCAAAGGTAAACAGCTTTTAACTGTTTGCCAAAGATTAACAGGTTTTAACAACTAAATTAAAACTTGACGTCAATGAGTTTGTGTAATGGACAGTTCTAGTGTTAAACTTCGTAACGTAAAATATAAAAATCAGTGAGTTGGTTGACAGTTCTAGTATTAAGTTTGCGATCACTTGGTTCGAGGAAGATCGACACTAATGTCAGCAAGCACGTATGCCACAGCAGCAAACAAGGCTGTTCCTCTGTCAAGAGCTACCGGATCCTCGACCAACATGGTATCTGCGTTAGTATGGTGATAATAGAAGTATTCGTCATTCTTCGAACTCCAAAGTGAACCTCCTGGAACTCCAGCTTCCACCCAGGAATCGATGTCAGGACCCAAACTGGGTGTGCGTAGTCTCATTTCTCCCATTGGAGATAAAAGTCTGGAAACAGAACGAAAATCGTAAAAAATATGAACGTTTATGGAAGCGTAAGTTTTTGGAAAGTTCCAATCTTTGAAAAGGTCCTTGGAAAGTTCCAGTCCTTGGAAAGTCATTAGTATTCTAGATATCCTTAATGTTTCTTACTTCAGAATTCTTCCTAAAATACACTTGACTTGATCCGTTCCGGAATACTCCATTCCCAAGGGCATGAAGGTACCGAGATCCGACTCCATTACAAATTGTAAGTTGTGTTCCTCGGCTTTGTGAGCTTTTATGTACTGATTAGCTCCAATGATTCCGGGTTCTTCAGCGGTCCACATAATCATTCTGCAAATTAGGAGTGAAATATTTTTCGATGATTTCGTGTTTACTGTTGTGCTAATTAAATTTGCTGCAGTTGAATTATGTAATTTAGGTGCGATTGCATAAGTTATATAAATTTAATTAAATTGTGTACCTTCGTTGCAATTATATATGTCAATTGAATTAAATTGTATACTTTCATTGCAATTATATATGTCAATTGAATTAAATTGTGTCATTTGATTGCAATTACATAAATTATATAAATTGAATTAAATTGTGCAATTTAATTACAATTATATGTATCATATAAATTAATTTAAATTATTAGCTTATATTTTTGGTAAAATCGATGACTTTAGAAAAACATATTTATTTCACAAATATCTTTCATTTAGAAAGATTTATAATTTATTTCGTAAACATCACTTACTGATAACGATGTCTAACGTACTTCATAAAATTCTTTTAATAATAACGACCTATAACTTATTTTATAATTATATCTTTTAGTCATACAAGATGTTTCAATAAAAAATACTTTCAAATGCAAGGTTTTCAATTTTGATAGCTTGATTTTTTAATGAAATGTCACATCGTTATTTTTTTAATGAAATGTCTCATCGTTATTTTTTTAATGAATTGTCACATCTTTATTTTTTTAATGAAATGTCACATCACTATTTTTTTAACGGAATGTCACATCTTTATTTTTTTAATGAAATGTCACATCACTATTTTTTTAACGGAATGTCACATCTTTATTTTTTTAATGAAATGTCACCTCATTATTTTTTAAATGAAATGTCACCTTATTATTTTTTAATGAAATAAAAAGAAAAAGTTTGTCAATTTTTTTCTTTCATTTGAATCGATGTAATGCTTACCTTACTGTGCGCTTTGGTCTGTAATTAAGATGTTTCAAGAGCTTCAGAGCTTCCCACGAAATAAAAGCACCACCGCCATCGTCCATTGCTCCTTGACCAACGTCCCAACTATCGATGTGACCGGATACAACAACCACTTTCTCTGGATTTCTGGTGCCCCTTAGTTCAGCTACTACATTTCGCGATGTCGTATCTGGCAAATTTTTCGCTCCCATTTTCAAATTTATTTTTATAGTTTGACCTATAACGAAAAGTATATACATATATGTGTTAGTAGTATTATTTCTTAACTTGAATTTGACTTTTGACTTGAATTTGTTTTGACTTTTCTTTATTGTTAACTTATAATTTTGAGTTATTAACGTTTTGACTATCACCCACATATGGATGTCGCCTAATCTTCCATACGAACGTATCATCTATATTATTAAGAATGTGTCCACTAATTGGAAATATTCATATTAACTATTTGAAACTATGAATAATAAATATAATTAAATATTGTGAGAATATTTGGTAAGATTTGCTAGAAACAAAAATATTATCTAATATAATTTTCAACTGCTTCTGTGTAGCAGTCAACGTGTTAAACAAGACTTCTTGTGTGATGTGAGTACAGGGTACTTGATACATTTTTGAAATTTGATTTATTTATGTGAGTTGATAATTATTTGAAGAATAAGTAATAATGAATATAATATTGTAATGAATAGTTAATTACTTCATAGTTAAACTTTGTACAAGAACATGTAAAACATAATTTGCATATACGAAAAAGCAGATGATAAAACAGTCAATAGCAAAAAATGATTATTATGATAATAAGTAGACAATTATTGTCTAATAAAACAGAAGATAAATAAAATAAAATATGAATGCATAAAACTGTTCGATTTACATCAATGTATAGTAACAGAAATTTGATCAAATTTTCAAACAAATTCAAATTAGTTCAAATTACCAAGTGTACAAAGTACCAAATATTATACAAGACTTACATAAAAATTTTATTAAAATTTGGTAAATCTCCTCATGAGTTTATATCTACTACAAATTTAAATAATTTAAATAATTAAATTTGTACAGAAAAAATGAAGCTTGACTTAAATGATTTTGCATTAAAGAAATAATCTAAAATTTCTAATTAATTCAATTTATATTTTAAATAAAAATGTTTGGCATGCTAGTTGCTTTTCAAAAATGTTTTTCCAAATCATTAAAAAATGATTTACCTCTTTCTGACATTCTTCTCAACAAAGCAGCATCTTCATGAGTGATGCAAGCAACTGGGATTTTGGTAACATTATTATGGTAGAATTGTTCGCCTGTATGTGGAGTGTACAACGACAGCGGAGTAACTGAGTTGATTAATGCAGCAACGGCGCCATATCTCGATGCTACCGATGCTCCGTTAATTCGATAATCCGAGGTTTCCAGGTACGAAACAAATTTCTGATTGAAGACAACGATCTTTCCACGTACCTGAAATCGATAGACAGAACAATCTGTAAAAATTCAATAATACGCGGAAATTGGAAAATTTGAGGTTTCGGAAGATTGAGAATTTGCAGATTTGAGAATTCGGAAATTTAAAAATTTGGGAATTTGAATTTTAGATAATAAGGAGAATTTTGAAATTTTAAATTATGATAATTTGACAATTGGACAATTTTAGAAGGTGGAAATTAGAGAAATTTTAAATATGGAGATATGGACATTTGAATATTTGGAAGTTTGAGAATTTGGAAGATTAAGAATTTGGGAACTGGAGAATTTAGGAAATTTGAGAATGTGTGAATTTGAGAATTTGAGAATTTGAGAATTTGAGAATTTGAGAATTTGAGAATTTGAGAATTTGAGAATTTGAGAGTTTGAGAATTTGAGAATTTGTGAATTTGAGAATTTGAAAATTTGAGAATTTGTAAATTTGAGAATTTGTAAATTTGAGAATTTGTAAATTTGAGAATTTGTGAATTTGAGAATTTGAAAATTTGAGAATTTGAGAATTTAAGAATTTTGAAATTTGGGAAATTAGAAATTTAAAAATTTAAGAGTATGGTAATTTGGGAATAAAAAATTTGAAAATTTGAATGTTTAAGAAATCAGAAATGTGAAAATTTAAAAATTGGAAAACTTAGAAGTTTCAAAGCTTGAGAATTTGGAAATCTAAGAACTTTGGAATGTCATAATTAAAAATTTAAGAATTCGGAGTACGCAGAGTTTGAAAATTCGAGAATTTGCGAATTTAGAAATTAGTAATACAATGCAACATAAAAGTTAAAAAATATATCAAAGCAATTACTTCATTTTTTCTTCGGTGCAGCTCATCGAAAGTGTTAACAACGATTGCCTCTGCAGTGATGCCTTCAGGTGGGGTACCAACACTGGAACCTACTCCCAACATAGCCATATCTTTTCGTCTTGGTAGTATAAGTGTAGCAGACTCTTTTCCTCTGAAAAATTCACGCATTTATCACCTAAATCACTATATTTGTGTCGAAACTACAATTTGTCCTTTTGTTACCTTATTTCATAAAATCTTATTTTACCTAATTACATTTGTCTATAAGACAACAATTAAAATATATCTAAAAATCGCAACATAAATTTACATTAATTTGAATTATTGCATGTTTAACTGCGTTATTTTACTCTTATGACTCAAGAACCGGTTTCAGGGAAACCGGAGATTTGCACGTAGAAATTTTTTCACTGCTGCTTCTACAATTCAAGGTATGATAACTGGTATGTATACATTCTTAGAACTTGCTATGAAAAGTGTCATTAAATGTAACAACATAAAAAGCATGTGTTCCGCGTTGATCACGTTGGAAAATGATATAATTAGATACACATAGAGAACTTGAGTGAAAGATGGAGATAATATGTTCCTATGTAATTTAACAAATAAAAAGATCCGGGTATCACAATATAATGATTTTATAGTAACTGCATAACAACTTTATAATAAAAATTATAAGTGCATATGACTAAATGATTACCATACAATAACTGTACACAATATCGACATAATAATTACAGATATCAACCCACGTAATTTAGAGTTTTATACAAAGTGTAATTAATAGCGTGAAATTTACAAACTTGAAAACTGGAAATTTGAAATTTTGCAAAATTAGGAATTTTAGGAAGAAGATTAGGAATTGTGAAGATTTGGATGTTTAAAAGTGTAGGAATATGAAAATTGGAAAATTTTTGATGTTGGAAATTTAGAAATATATAACTTGAGATTTGAGAAAAAATTTAAAAATTTTGTAATTATCAAATTTGAAAACTAAGTCCTCCGTGCCCACAAGAGCATACCACTTACACACTGAAATATAAACTACTAAACTTAAACAAATAATTAATTATTCCATTCCAAAATTGAAATCCTATTACATCTAAAATATGGGTACCCTTTAATTATTAGTACTTATTCAAAATACTTATTTTGATTTTCTTCATGCATTGTAGCAGTCGATATTTAAACAATTAAACATTATAGCAGTCAACAGTCTATTACGTCTGACGCCGAAATCAGAGTGCAAGGTGTGAATCATCCCAATTACAGATGTCAACCCACGAGTTAGCGCGTGAGATCCAAAGTAAAAGAAGCTCCCCAGCATGGACACTTCTAGTTACATTTCGGTAAATAAGAATAATAATGACAATAACAACTGCTGAATTCGCACTATTTCTCAGTCTCGAATCGTTTGCCGACAATTGTTTATGACCTAATTGGTGTATGACCGCAGGAGCCAATTCTGTTCCGAGTTGCTCGGAATATAATTAAGGTAATATCTATGAGTATTTTGTCAAACCCAAAAACGTTTCACCTTTGGAATTTTAAACTGATATTTAAGACCATATGAACGTCTCCACAACTTGACGTTCTTAACAATTGACAATAACCTTCTAATAGGCCAGAAAAGCACGCTTTCTTAACACCAATATACCTTTTCTTAAAGAAGTTTATTCCATGGTCCTAAACTGTGCACCCCAATAAAGTGGGCCTACGCGCTCGAACTCCGATGATAAACACATGGTGCCCATTTATTACTTCCTTTGAAGGACCCAAATCACTCAATTGCTTTGGGTTACTTTGTTAACAAAATGTAATTTACAACCCTGGAATAAAGGCTAAAAATCTTACAATCCCATTCGCTAAACCATCTCACCAATCAGTATTTTTCACAAATAACAATCTGTCCTGATTGGCCTTTTTTGGTAACGCCTTCACGTCCTGAACTTCCTGCATTGCTTTCTTTTCTGACTGTTTAGAAGCGACTAGTCAGTCTTAATTCAGCTTCCTTAGAATATACTTACTTCGGTCAGTCTTACATTAACTTTGTCACTATCAACGACTTTAACACACAACAATCATTACAACTAGTGGGATGATGATCAACATCCTTCAATGACCTGGGCACACCAGTGTGGAGGACTCTGAGCCACTCTATAAATTCTACTCCACAATAATAATTCTACATATAATTCCACTACCGTAACAAGTTGTGGAAACGCCATGGGTCGACGAAGATTTACAACCTTCG